CAATGATAAACTTTATTCTTAGAGACTCAATACTCTGTGTCTGCCTCCTACATACAAACACAAATACACAGAAAACACTAAACTTCCCTATCTAGATGTATTCTGGGAGTCACAGCCTCCAAATAGAAAGCAAAAGACAGACTAAGAAGCAAGATAGAACAACATTCTGCTGAAAGTGCAGCTACCCAATTCTCACTGAGCCAGACCTTGCACTTTGGAAGGCTCCCCATGGAGAAAGGACACATAGCCTTGCAGCATCAGGACAGGCTCTGTGCTGCTAACGTCAGCCCCAGTGGCATTCCCAATCATAGTTCTATCAGCCTTGTACTGTAGTTGAGGAAATTTTGGCAAAAGGCCAACTACTTTTTGGTTTCTGATGATGTAAGTAAGCAAACGTTGGATTTTTTTTCATAAATATTCTAGTGGGCAGTTAAGGCTGCCTATGAGATGCCTTTTAAAATTAAAGTCACAATGGTAGGAGGTAAGTTGTAACTGAAAAAAATCACAGGAACTCATGTTCCAAGAGTCCTTAGAAGTGCTTCAGTTCAATCTTCTCAGCTCTACAGTAACAGTAGTCTTCAGGTCAATTCCTCCAGTGATCTAAAACTCACTACCTGGTGAAATGATTCTCTTTTATGTTTACCATTATAAAAGAATGTTATCTTTTATACTGAGGTAACATTTCACTCTGTACTTAGTCTCTTCGTCTGGAGCCATAAAATAATTTTAACATTTCTTTCTAGAAGGATACTCTTTCAAGGGATAGACCTTCAAATACAATAGTACCATATACACCTCTCAAGTATTCTTTTACACTTGTTCCCTAAAGATATACCAGCAAAACTCTGAAGAAATCTATACGAGCAAGATATGCTAGCTATTCAATATTTTCCAATGAATACTACCAACTGCAGCAATGGTAAAGACACTCTTGGTCAGCATCCCTATTTAAAGAATAGAAAACAGAACAACCCCAACCTAGCACATATATTCTTTTCCTTGGCTCCAGAAACCCCTGATTAATGACCTCCACTTGCAAAGGAGGCTACTTACCTTAACCATGAAATAATGAATGCTATTGATCCAACAAGCTACTGCTATAGAGTGTTATTGATCACCCAATCTTTGGTTAAAATGGTCCTCATTTAGCAATTTCACTGTCACAAACACCTGGAGCAAAGCACACCCATAATTAAAGAGTTTGGGGGAGTTAAAGTGAAAGGTGATGGACAGAGATCTCAGCTTTCTCCCATTTATTCTTGCTTCTGAGCTATTGTTTGTGTCAGAAGGGATATTGATTTTCTATAAAAATAAGAAAACAAGAGGCACCAAGGGGCTGCAGAAGGTCAGCTTGGGCTGGAGAAGGAGGGGGAGGTTTAGCACTCTATCTCTGTCACTTGCCTTCCAAGAGAAGGGAAAATTTTCTTTTCTGTGAGAACAGCCTCTAATATATCACTTTAAGAAGGCTCCTGCATGTGACTTCAGACCATCACCTAACCAATGCATTTATAAAAGAAAAAGAAGCTAAACTATGTTAAAGGAGAACAAACAAATGATGTGTTAGTGAACAAAAGGACAAAATTAAGACCATGGTCATCTAATTAATAGCTGCTATATAGACAATTTAAACAAAAAAATCAGTAGAATTATTATCAGGGAAGGATTATTGTAGGAAAATCCAAAGAAAGCTACTAAGCATAAAAACACACAGATGGAAAAAATTAAAATAACTGTTTGATCTTTACACAGGCATTTAAAAAAAGCTATACAGTACAATCATTTTCAGTTCCTCAGAACTTGTAAAGAATTGGTTGTTACAGAACTGAAGGAATAATAGAAAAATGCAAAACAGAAATACTGATTAATCATTAAACTACTCAATGTCTAGTCAGCAAAAAGTGGATATAAGGAAATTAAAGTTGATTGAGACATACACTTTAAAATCTAAAATATCTTTACATGCTTTTTAAAAATAACTATCCACTGACTAGGGCAGTTTAAGCTTAATGATCAACTTCGTCTTAATTTTACAAGGTGGGCCATGGCTCTGACAATCTGCAATGACACTGATAAAAAATAAAGTTCTTGACTTTGGTCTGTATGTAAATAAACTGTGGTACATCTAAGCTGATGTACTAAATAGCAACCAAGAAGAATCTCAAAAGTATTTCTTCTAATGTAGGGGGGAAAATTGACAGAATGAACTCACCAAGATGGAATAATATCCAAATCATACACTAGTACCTACTTACACTGCAATGCTAGGTCTTTCTGTAAGGTTATGGTTAATAATTGAGGGAAGGACTGGGGATGTGGCTCAACGGTAGACCACTTACCTAGCCATGTACAAGGCCCTGGGTTCAACCCCTAACATTTGCAGTATATAAAAATGAATCATAATTGAGGGCAGCTTGAAAATTAAAAGATTTTAGTTCCACTTTACTATTGAGGAGAGGCTGGACATAATATGAAATCAAATAAGAATCATCACTCTTTCCCCATAGAAGAGATTCAGGCAGAAGAAAACAAAGCATTTCTGTTTGTAACTACACATCATGGAAGACAAGTGAAGGGGAATTTAGGACTCCTGAATAATTAGATTTTAAAGAAGTTTTTTTTTTTCATTCTCTATCTGCTCTTACTCCACTCACTATTCCTTCATAGCTATGAGGACTTTAACACCCTATTACTCAAGGAACTCTGAAGTCGTCACAGACCAGGGAAATAGTCCAAATGGGAAAAAGAGGTCTCCTTAACTTGAAAAGAGAAATTCAGAAGAATTCCCGTCTACTTCAATTTCTCCAGGCTCTGACATAACTGGAATTTATATTATCACAACCTGACTCCAGTAGATGGTCTGGGGTAAGAAAGAACAGAAAAACTAAAGCATCTCACTGCTAGACCATTGCCTCTGCATTTGCAGCTGAATTTTACACAGAGTTAACAGTCCCTAACACCCACAATAACTTCATAGCCTAACAAAAAATTCTGGGGAAGAAATATACACAAACTATCATTCCAAATGCTTATTTTTTAAATCGCCATTCTCACTCCTAAGATTTCAAGGTATATATACTCAACATTAAAATAAACTTGAAGGGGCTTGGGATTTAGCTCAGGGGTTTCACCACCTGCTGCACAAGTGCAAGGACCAGAGTTCGATCCCTGGTACCAAAAAAAATAAAATGAAATAAAATAAAATAAACTTGAATACCTCAACAGAGGGTTTCAATATCCTGAAAGGGTACAAGCTGACTAAGCAGTTCTTGTTTGATTAAAAATAGCAAAAGGAAAAAGATACAAAAATATACATATAAATTGGATAAATCATCTTTAGAAAGAATTAAGCTTAGAGGAAAACTAGAAAAGCCAAACGGGGGCCCTACCTTACTGTAACTGAACAGACTTGCAACACAAAGTTAGTAAGAAAGCTGGACTAATACCCATCCATAAATGTAGTGGCACAGAGACCTACACAGCTTCACCTCTGAGTACCTAAGATTTATGTCTTTGTTTTTAAGACAAACTTCAGAAGAAGCAAAGTCCTAAGAAGGGTCATATGCTCTCCAGTTGTAAAAGTTAAGATGAAACAGAAAAGGGGTCATGGAAAAGACAAACTCAAAGAGCAGCAAAACATGGTGAAATACAAGCTTTGAAAACAGGTTTGATTCTCAGTTTGAGCACTGGGTGACCTTAGAAAAATTCTCTAAACTCTCTTAAAGCCCAGTTTCCTCTTATATGAAATACAAACAGTGGAATTCTACCATACAGCAGAATTGTGAACATTAAGAATATCCAGTAAGTGTGTAGTACAGTGCTTAATAAATGCCAACCAATCTTAATTAACAATAACAGAATACACAACAGTGCCAACTGGGTGTATTCAACCCACCTAGAGGCTACCCCTATGGGGCATTTGGGTTGATTCTATGAAGAGGGGTAGGAATAATGAAGAGATGCTAAGTATCCTGCAAAGTACACAAAGAATAATTTCATCCAAAACACCAACAGCATCCGCATTGAAAAGTCGATAGATTACTATTAATATTAAAGTAAAAAGTTGCAGAATTATCAATGTTCCTACAAATGAGATGTAGAAAAATTAAGTTACCAAAAGTCACACTGACATTTAAACATCTATTAATTAAGAGACAAATTTCTGGGCCGGGGATTTAGCTCAGTGGTTTCACTGCCTGCTGCGCAAGCACAAGGATCCGAGTTTGTTCCCCAGTACCAAAAAAAAAAAAAGAGAGAGACAAATTTCCATGGCCTGATCACATTTGGTATGATCTTTGATCATATTTGGACTTGCCACTGTTATTTTCTAAGCCCACAATGTATTCAGACAACCTGAAAGTCTGTCACTAAATAGTATACTCAAAGTTACACAGAAGTAGCAGAGAACAGAACTATAGCCCGAAAATACCTAAAAAGCCCTGATTCTTAAAGTGCAGCTTACGAGAACATTTACAAAATGCATATGCATGGCACCTGCACATTCTCTCTCAAATATACTATATATACTCATATATACCAGCCTCTGCTAAGACTCTAGTTCTAAAGAACAATATGCTTGTGAACTACGTAGTATAAACAGCAGCAAGTTGTTTTTAACTTCTTGGTTACGCATTGAGATATATAATTTTTAGTCTCAAACTGTTTCCCTTACACATAACTTTCTTGAAGAGGAAAACAGAATCATAAATGCTACTTTAAAAACTAGAAAAAAAACAAAACAAAACTAGAGATCAGGGACCGGGGATTTAGCTCAGTGGTGCTGCCACCTGCCTCGTAAGTGCAGGGTCCTGAGTTCTATCCCCCCCATACCAAAAAAAACCCAAAAAACAAAAAACTAGAGATCAACTTCTGATTAAAGAAAGGCTACAAAGCCAATACTAGAGTGGCTGGTTTGGAAAAAAGTGGAACTCATCAAGAGACTGCATTTGTACTTTGGGTAAAATTAATTAGGAAAATCCCTGATTTAGCGAAGGAGAGCTCACCATTCTGACATGTTTTCATCAGAGCCCTGTTTCTGTTCATCTGTTTCACATTCCATTCTTTCTTTCCTTCCTGTTTTGCTTAGGAAAGCCCTGTTTTCTGATGATTCACACAACCCGTGGCCTGATGAGGTCCAGGGGGTATTCTCCTTCCAGCGAGACAGACGCTGCTTCTTGGCGGACTTGAACCTGCAGCCTCGCTCATAGCTCCAATCTGATACCTTCAGCTTCTGCTGAAGGCTGGCAGCCACCTCTGAAGTCACTCGCTTCACCTTTCGCCTGCGCCTGAGTGGTCGACAAGGTGCATTTTCAGTAAAGGAGTCTGATTCATGCCAAGAATGTTGCTTACTCTTAACAATGGCATTGAGAGCTGGGTGCCGTTTGGCTACCATTGTGTCATCAGAGTCACTGAAATTGGTGACTGGGGCAACTTCTCGACAGTCCTTAATGGCCTCATCCAGGCTGGACTCAGAGGCCTCACTGTAGCAGCAGGTGTGCTCTGCCAGGTGAGTAAAGTCAGATCGGCGCTTCCGGCCTCGGCGTTTCCGAAGCTGCCGCCTCTGCTGTCGAGGGCTCAAGGCCATCTCTTCCCACAGCTCACCAAGCTTATTCTGCTCAGATGTCTGCTCCAAGGCTGAGGCTAAGTCATGTACCAGCTCATCCATGAGGCCACATCTGCCAAGGAAAATTTCAAAAATGAAAGAAAAAGAAAGCTTGAATAGGATCTGTTATTTTCAAATAATTCTATAAAATAGATCATGCAGAATCATGCCCATCTATAGAAAATAAACATACCTTACAACTGGATATATTTAAGACTATGTTCCTCCCATCCATGCTCCCTTAAGCCACTAAAAAAAATAGGTATTTGGCCCCTGTTAAATGTCTGACACCAACGTGTTCTTAAGTATAAAAACTCAACCACTCACAAGATAACTGAGATACTAGCAAAAATGAGCAAACAAACCGGGGGATCTCTTCCCTTCCTCCTCAATTGAACTTATCATTGAATTACAAGGTGATGAGATCCCAAAAGACTATAAAATGTCTAATCAGAGATGAACAGAAAAACACACAATTTCAAAACCACAGTAGAGCTGAGAGAATACAGGATGGGATCTGGCAGCACCATGGTACTGAGACTGGATGAAGGTCTGCTCAGAAGTCTGGGATCACTGCTGAGAATGCACGGACTCACTTAAGGAAGCCTGCTTGCAGTTTAAGAGATCCAAGAGTCTGTAGTGATGCCAGTGTACCGATTGCCATGTGGAAGCTACTAGGTATAGAACTACATAGAAGGCGTCATTTACTTTTGCATAATTAGCAACTTTTAGGCTCTTCTCTCCATCCTGATCATCCTAATTATGTGCTTTAGTGCTGCACGGTAACACAATCACACACACAAAACCAGGATATAACTGAAGCTGAAATGAGGGGGATGGGGTGGAAACTAAGGTTTCTGGCTAATTGCTCTTTTCAAAATCTCCTATTTTTCTACTCATCGAACTGTCATACTTCAGAGGCAAACCTTTCAAGGGATACGAGTAGAAGCAATTTTTAAAATTCCCTTTTAAAAAGAAATGTAATCTGTGCAACACCTAATAAAGTATACATTAAGTCATCACTTTCTGCCTAGGCCTTGTTAAGCCCGAAGTATTTCAAGACCATAATTAGAGCTTAAAACTCTATGTAGCCCACCACCCTCAGGGCATATTTCTGTTCATGCAATATATATTTTGCAAAAGGCTTTCAAAAATCCGTTCTTGGACTGGGGATTTAACTCAGGGGTTCAACCGCCTGCCGCGAAAGCGCAAGGACCCGAGTTTGATCCTCGGTACCGAAAACAAAACAAAAATCTGTTCTCACACTGTCCCTACGCCAATGAATTCAAAGGCAGAAAAGTCTTCTGGCTTGTGTGACATATCTGTGGGGGCAACGGAGACACCTAGTTCCAAAATGACCACCCAAGGAATACCTCAAAATGTCAAAAGCCACATAAATTAAAAGATCACACCCCTTTAAGTAAAAAGTAGTTTAAGACTCCGTAACTGGAGTATGACCAAAATAGATAAACAAGTGGAAACAGCATGTTTAAATCTCATTCACTTTCTTATTGTTCAAAAATTCTGGCAGAACTGCACAAACTGCAACGTGGAACGAAATTATCAAACAACTTTTAGTTGAATACTTGAGCAGAATCCTTTTCCTGCCTCAAAGACTGCAATTCAAACAGGCAGCAGAAGAGCCCTGGGACTCCCGCAACCCCAGGTTCGCTCAGATGAAAACCCCAAGAGGACCCAGGGTCCAGGCACGGGCCCAGAGAGGGGTAAGGCTGTCTGGGTCAAGACAGGACGTGGCAGACGGCAAAGGAGAGTCAGCAGCAGAGTGGGAGGTGTGGAAGATAGGGAAGCAGGAAGCAACTCTGAATTTGGGCTCACCCTGAACAGTGGGTCTGCCCTTCTAAGATGGAAACCGCCAAAAAGCAAGATCTGGCGAGCGGGCTCCCTCTGTGATCGAGGGTCGCAACATGGCCACATATGTGCGAGGAAAAAAAACACACAAAAATAACATGTTTCAAAGGACTCCCCGCCATCTCCCGCTGTCCCCGAGAGCTACTGCGACCAAGGCCCGAGACACCAATCCCTCATGCTGTCACCCGCCGAAAAGGGAAAGAAGGGAGGTGAGGAAGGGACTGTCGCCCTCGAGGCGAACCGACCTCATCGCCCGGGATTGGGGCAACAGGCCCAGGGACGCAAGGCCCACCACTCTCGCCCCTCCCGCCAGCCGCCACGGCCCCAAGGCACCCTTAGCCGCCCAGCAGCAGCCCAGAGCCCGGATGCTCTCTGGCGCTGGCGGACACCGACCCTCTCACCCACTCCTCCCCCTCACCGGCTGCCGCAGCCACCTCCAACTGGCGCCGCTTTTGAGGCCCAGTCTCCCCGCCGGGGTTTCCCTCTCTGACCTTATTTCCGGTCTGGGCCGGAGGGGTGGGGCGGTAGTAGAGTGGGAGGGGCTGACTGAGAGAAGGCCCGCCCGGGCCCAGCAGCTTCCGCCCGCGGTCGTGCCCGCTTCCGCCCCATAGTGGGCGGGGCCAGGGAAAGCTAGGATGTTGGCCAGGAGGCAAGGAAAAGCCCAGTAGGGAGCAAGAATCATCTTTGTGGCTCGGATGTCAAACTAGAGTAGACCCCGCAGGCTAGCCTCTTCTCCCCAGTGAGCGTCAGAAAGTTGGGCGCTGAGGATTTGTTAGGTTGAAGAGAAATGGATCTTCATTTTTATCCATAAGAGTTGGCATAAACTTCGGAAGGGGACAGTTTTGCGTTAAGTTACTCAGCATTAAAAATATACTTGCCTTGAGCAATAAAACGGTAAAGTAATATTGGATTATATCTCAAAGTATAAAAGAAATATTCATGATCCCATACTGATATGTGAATGATAAAGTAAATTAGTGGGGAAGAAGAGATAAATTTCCCGCGGAAGAATCCTAATTTGTGTAGAGCCCATCCACAAGCATAGCTCCCAACTTCTTGTGTGATTTCCTCTGATGAGTACAGTATGGAAAGGGGGCAAAATGAGTAACTTTGCAGTGGAGAAACCTGACGGGCCCTATCTCAGCCTGGTGATCAAGGTTAACATCAACAGTGATGCGTCATGACAGTGTGTGAACTTGATATATAGAGCACAGCACTCTATAGTACTTTCCTTCCAAAACTCCTAACCCCAGTCCAAATGACACAGAGACCACCATAGGAACACAAAATAACTCCTGGGCTCTAAACCAGTTACTCATGAAAAGCAGGATTTGTGTTTTCTTCTGAGCCAGTCAGGGACTTAAAAGTGGTTTCTGCTAAAAAAAAAAAAAAAAAATTAATAATAATAATAATAATAGGGCTGGGGATTTAGCTCACCGGTACTGCACCTGCCTTGCAAGTGCAAGATCCTGAGTTTGATCCCCGGTACCAAAAAACAAATAATAATAATAATAATAATAATAATAATAATAATGACCATTTGGGCCTACAGATGTCCAATAGGTAACTAAAATCAGAACAAAGCTTGACCTCCTCCTTCTTTGGTAGCCTTTGTTACCTTAAAACTTTGAGATCTCAGATCTGCATATAGGCATGCTAATCATTTAGGGAGTATATGTCTACAAGTTGGCAAAACAGAGTTGATCCCCGAATTTACAGTCTCATCCCTCTTTAAGACTGAAGACACCAAGATAAGAATTAACGGGAACATTCAACTACACCTGGAAGTCTTCAGTCATGGCACTAAATTAAAGGTCACCTTGGATTCCAGCAGAACCTCACAAGATTGAGATTTCCCTAAGCAAAAATATCTTTTGGGAACCAAGTTGTGCCTCACATCATAAGGATTCCTTCAGATCTATGGAAACCAAAACTGACAGAATGTTCCACTAGACCCTGACCCATTTCAACTAATCCTTAAAAGTTGGCCTCCTCTTTTGAGAGTGGGCCAGTCTGATCCTCTTCATCAGAGTGTGCCCCCTCCAGCTACTCAAGCTGGAGTAGTTTCCCATTTGCTCTTACTCTGCTCATTAGAGGTCCAGCTTGATCTTTGTCAAAGCTGTGCTCTCCTTTGTTTTCTCTTTTAATTAAAGCCTTTTCCTGCAAGTTTGTGCTATAGTTTTAGTTTCCATTATCACTAAAGCTAGGACCCATGCTAACTGGTAATGTAATCATGTGAAAGAAAACAAACCCCAGTTGAAGGACATCATACAGAATGCATGACCAGAATTCCTCAAAATTATGAAGGTAAAGACAAGGAAAGTCTCCGGGCGTGATGGTGCATGTCTGTAATCCCAGCACTCAGGAGGATGAGGCAGGAGGATAGCTACAAGCTTGAGGCCAGGTTGGGCTACAAAGTGAGTTCAAGGCCAGTCAAGACTACATAGTGAGACCCTGTCTCAAGACAAGGAAAGTCTAAGAAACTGTCACAGCCAAGAGGAGCCTCAGGAGACATGACAACTAAACGGAATGTGGTATAATGGATGGAATATTGGAATAGAAAAAATCTAGATAAAGCATGGACTTTAGTTATTAATAATGTATTAATATTGGTTAATTGTGACAAGGTGCTATACTAACGAGATGATAATAAGGGAAATTGGATGTAGGTTACATGGAAAATGTAGAATCTTCATAATCTTTTTTTTTTTTTTGGTACTGGGGATCAAATTCAGGTCCTTGCACTTAGGAGGCAGGCAGTGGAACCACTGAGCTAAATCCCCGGCCCCATAATCCTTTTCTGTAGTGCTGGGGATAGAACCCAGAGTCTCTTGCACATGCTAAATAAGCACTCTACTACTGAGCAACATCCCCAACTCAGAATCGTCATAATTTTTCTGGAAACCTGAAATTCTAAAATTACAAGTTTTTTTTTTTCTAAAAATGTGTATGGCTTTTGGCTCAGAAATTTCCCTAAAAATTTTAGTCTAAGGAAGACTTGGAAATGGGTGCAAAAATCTGAAATGCAGGTAAATTTATTTCTGCAACATTGCTGAGGGGTGAAGGTACTTGAAAAAGCCAGAACTGCTACCAAAGTGGTTAATTAAGTTATTAATTATGCCGTCTCTGGGATGGTGTACCTTACAGCCTATAAAGATGATGTTATGGAAAGATATTTAATGACAGGAAAAGTTACTGATTTATGATGGGGTATACTTCTATATGGCTGTTATATTTAATTAAAAGTGTGCTTTAAAATGTAGAGTTTAATATATATATATATATATCTGAGTATATATAAAGGAAATTAAAACAGTATTTTCATAAGACTATCACCAGAACAGTACACTACACAACATCCAAAATAGTTCCCATTAAATGCCTACATTTCTACTCTGTTGCTTTTATGAATTTTCAGGATTTCCTGTAGGTGAAACTTACCATGTAAAGAGAGGAGACAAAGATGATAAATCAGGTTTTGTGCCAAAGTGATTGCAAGACTGAGTAGAGTTACCTGCACAGCTAAAGAAATGAAGACAAGCTCGAGAGGAGTGGCTGGATGGGGTGGTATATGTCTCTGATCCCAGCATTCTGGGAGACTAAGGCAGGCAAATTGTAATTTTGAGCTCAGTCTGAGCAACTTAGTGATTTAGCAAGGCCTTATTGCAATAAGTGAGTGTTAAGGCCCTGGGTGCAAAGTACAAGAAAGGGAGGTGGAGGGGAGGGGCAGAAGGGTACAGGAGGGAAGGGGAGAGAAGGGGAAGGGGGGAGGGGAGAGGAGAGGAGAAAGGGGGGAAAGGATTTGATGGGAAGATGATTACTTCTATTTTCTATTTGGGATGTGCTGAATTTGTGATTTCCACAGGACAGACATACAGAAATATTTAACAGATGTCCATGCTCCTCAACCCTCTCTTTAAAAAAAAATTCTTTGCCACAAATCACATCAGTTCCTGTAGTGCCATTTGTCCCCTTCAGCACTGAAAGCTCCCAAATTTCTTTTCTTCCCCCCACATCAGAAGGGTAATGTTTAAGGTTATAACAAGGTTTGAGGGAGGCACAACTCATGCATACGGCATGAACACCCAATCATCACACTCATGAAATCGAAGGATCTTAAATCTGTTTTGTTTGTTTGTTTGTTTTTGTTTGTTTTTTGAGACAGGGTCTCACTTTGTAATTCAGGCTGGCCTTGAATGAACTATGTAGCCCAGGCTGACCTCGAACTCAAGGTGGTCCTCCTGCCTCAGCCTCCTGATTTCTGAGATTACAGGCATGTGCCATCAGGCCTGGTGCTCCCAAATTTCTTGAAGTCCATTTTTAATTTTCTGCTTCTGCTAATGTCTCCACTTGTATCCACCACCAGTATCTCCAATTTAAGATGTCAAAATAAAGCTTAGTTTCTCCCATGATACTTGTCAAATCTGCCCCTCTCTACTGTTTCCTTTTCGGGAAACATCACCTCTACCATACACTCAGCCAGGTGAAAAGCTTCAAAATAATTTTCAATTCTTGATTCCCCTTTTACCCCTTTACTCAGTTAAATGCTAAGCCTCATAGATTCCACGCCTACAGGATTCTTAGACCCACCCTCCCTCTGTCATTTTCATTCTGCTATGAACCTCATCTGGCCAGGTGACATCTTACTGGTCTTCCCACCTTCAATATCTCCCCAAAAAAGCTATTCTCTACCTGGTAGTATAGTTCCTTCCGAAAACACGGTTTGGATCATGTCACCTCTTCCATCTTTCACTTCCTCCTGCTTGAGGCTTAGACCATTTGCTGGTTCTTAAACACCCTTGGGATTTGGGGAGATTTAAAGGTTCAATGCCAATGCTACCTCCATGAAGACTTCCCTTTGCTTGCCCTCTCCATTGGCTCTTCTCTCTCAGTTCTTGCCAGAATCTTCATTACAATATTTTCTTCATTCATCTTTGAATTAGAGGTAATTATGTAGAAGTTTGCCTGCCCAACTAAATCATTCATCCAACAAATATTTCCTGAGCCCCTACAACATATCTGGACCTGTGCTAAGTAGACTAAAAACTAAATAAATGCTTGTTCACGAGATACTGAGTTAGGAAAATTAGAACCTCAGTCATATTTTTTAATGTTACTGAGGATAGAAACCAGGGCCTTGCACCTGCTAGGCAAGTACTCTACCACTAAGCAACATCCTCGGACTTTTTTTTTTTTTATGTATTGGTATATGTTTGTGATGGATAATAATTATCTTGGAGAATTGATAAATATACATCTTAATCGTTTTTACTTCCCCCTTCCTTCCCACTCTCCAGCCCTTTTTTGTAGTTTTGAGATATGGTCTTGCCCAGGCTGTCCTCAAATTCACAATTCTCCTGTCTCTGCCTCCTAAGTATCTGGTGGCACATACAAGTGTATTCCATAGGATGGTGAAAGCCATGGACAGAGCCCACAGGGTAACCAATCCCATTTCCCATGCAGACTGTCTCAGGAGTGGGCACACTGACTCAGTAACGGGT